CTTCACTGGGCCCTGGGCTCGTCAAATCATTACCCCAAGACGGCCCTGGGGAAACACATCTCGACGTGGCGAGCGAAATCATACTGTCAGTGCCAGCTTCGATTCTGCCGATTCGAATCAAATGGATATCGACGATTTCCGATTTCCATTCGATTCGTCTCCACATTCCGATTTCGGTTTGGATTTCTTCGCGTGTTTCGACCGACTCGGACCAGCGGCGGTGGATCTCTCGATGCTTCCCGATCTGACTGCAGATTTCCGACTCCACGTGATGATTCCCATGGCTGGTTAGATGTTACACTCCGTTTTCGGGTTGCCGCCCTGATCGTCTCGCGGCGTGAAAAGAACACGAACGGCGTTTGGACACTTTTCGGCATCTGCGGGCCCTTGCCAGGCCCCAGGGCGATCAGAAAACGGGGGCGAAAGCCAGGTTCCCGGGAAGGGGTTGAACCCTTTGGGAGACCACGTTGTGGAGAAAACGCAATGTCAGGAGCCATGCCGATGTTGTCGGATATTTGAATGGATTCGGTTTCGCGGATGTTCGATTCGATTCGATTACGGATTCCGAGTTTTTTTGTGCCTGTTGTATGCGCTTCTCGTGCGGGCGGGGCGTCGATCTCGATGCCTCTCGTCGGCCGACTCGATTTTCCGACTCGGCTTGGGGTTCTTGCGATCCTCCTCAATCCTCCTCGATCCTCCTCTACCTCCTCGTCCTGCGATCCTCCTCCTCGAGCTTTCGGAGACAGAGGCCTGTGGGCCGCGGCCGGCGCCGGCGGCGGCGGACTGCCCGAGGCTCTGGAGGGGCGCCGCCTCGGGGGAGGCGCCGCGGACGTGCGGGGGGCAGTCGGCCACATACAGAGAGGGGTTCGGGGGAGGGGGGAAGACTTGTTAGAAGCACCCCTCAACTTAGAAGGCGCGGGCCTTCTCTGCAGATGTAAGGGCCGGCGCCTTCTGAGAAGCAGCCTCTTTCTAAGAAGCATCCCCTCCTCCCCCTTGCCCCCTTGTGCGAGCCGCCACGGCAGGCTCGCCTCCCCTCGCGGGGGGGGAGGGGCCAGGCTTCCCCTTCGCCAGGGGCTCGCCTCCCCTCGGGGGTCGCCTCCCCGCGGGGGTCGCCTCCCCTCGCGGGTCGCCGCCCCTCGCGGGTCGCCGCCGCTCGGGGGTCGGCTGCCCTCGGGGGTCGCCTCCCTTGGGAGAGGAGGGGGGAGCGAAGCCTCGCCTCCCCTCGGGGGTTGCCCCTCCCTCCCCTTCGCCAGGGGCCCCTCGCCTCCCCCCTTCGCAGGCTCCTCCTCCTCCTCCTCCACCTCCTCCTCCACCCTCTCCTCCTCCACCTCCTCCTCGATCGCTCTCGCGCCCGACCCCCGAGTTCACTCCGAAACGGCTGTCGGAGACCGAGCTAATGGCCTGACTCTCCGTCGATGTTTTTGTCTGGGGCTGTTTCTGGGCCCCGAGGCCATGATGATGAGGCGGAGGAGGAGGAAGACGAGGAGGAGGAGGAGGAGGAGGAGGAGGAGGAACAGGAGGAGGAGGAGGAGAAGGAGGAGGAGGACGAGGAGGAGGAGGAGGAGGAGGAGGAGCTCCCATCAATTTGCAGGACGAGTAAGCGCCTTCGCCAAGCCCCAGGTGCGTCAGAACACGTCTCGGGGTGGCAAGCTGGTCCTTTCAGGAAGGGGTCGAGCTCTTTGGGGAGCCACGATGTGGCGAATCATGACGTCGGATGTTTGGGCTTGGAACCACGACGTAACGAGCTGTTGGGCTTCAGGATCACGATGTTTGGGCTTCAGCTTTTGGACTTCACGATGTTTGGGCTTGTTGGGGCTTTGGAGTGGAGCCGCGATGTAACGAATCACGACGTTGGAGGTCTTTTCGTGTGTTGTTTGAAGCGGCCCCTCGCTTCACCGAGGGCGTTCTAGCGGTGCCCGAGTCGTCCCGAACGGCCGCCAGAGGCCGGGTTTATGTCCCGAAAGCCAGCCTTGTGCGTCGAGGCTGCTCGACAGAGTTGCGGCGGCACACTTTTCGCCATGTGGGGGGAGCCTTGAAAGATTTTGAACGGCTGATTTAAAAACATGGCCTTGCAAGGCCTGGTTTTTGATCCGCAAGGCCTTGGTGAAGTGGTCGAGGGGCCCAAAAGCCGACGTCTCGAAGAAGTCTAGTCGACAGATGCCTCGGTGGGGGGTTCTCGAACAAGTCGAGTCGACAGATGTCTCGGGGAGGGGTGTCGGCCTGCGAGTCGAGCTCCCGCCAGGGGGACCAGGACGGGGACGGAGAGGGCGGTGACAAGGACCGGCAGCAGATCTTGAGCAGGACTCGCTTTCGGTGTCGCCGCGGGCGCTGCCCGTTTGGGAGAAGCGTCGCCTGCCCAACAGCGGCTGCTGCTGGTGTTCGACGGCATTCGCTGGTGGGCATGGGGTGTTCGTGCTTTCCGTGCCCATCTCGGGTCTCGGGTGTGCCAATCCCCGTGTGCGTCGTGGTGGAGGACCGCGGATCGTGCAGAAAGACCCCCCCAACCAACCCCCACCACGACGGGGAAGGCCGAAAACACTCAAACACTCTCCGCCGTGATTTCTAGAAGGCGAGGAGGTCAGGTTGCAAGGAATGCCCGCAGGTGCGGCCGTCGGGGGTGTGAGGGGGGGGAGGGGCACTTGGGGCTATCGTTTAGGGAGGGGGGCGTGCTCCCGACGAATGAAGCGCAGTTGCATGCCCCCTGCGTAGGGGTAATTATGCGGCGCGAGCCTCTGCTCAGTGGTAAGGCCTGTTTTCAGGCCTCAGACCAAAACCACGTTGCGTCGCGACATGATAGCGACGGGAGGCTATTTACAATTTTCGGCCTCCAGGGGCCCTTCCCGGACCCTGGGGACATGAGAAACGATTCGGGACGAAAAGCTGGCCCCCAGGAAGGGGTCCAGACCTCATGGGGAGGCACTCTGTAAAAGTCACGGCGTCGAATGTCGAGGCCTTGCCGAGAGTTGCCAAACTTGTCTGCACGATCACAGTGATCATTCCAGCCGACCTCATCTTGGGGCTCCAGGGAAACACAAAGCGTGTAAGTTGGGAGAGCCTTTCCTTCGTGCTCGAGCAGCCTGACCAGAGGGCCGCGGCACGCATTCTGCCTGAGTCCGCGGTCCTCTGTCGAGCGCACCTCCGGCGAGCGGCGGTATTGCCCAGCCGTCTTGATGCCGAACTGCCCCACCGTGCTGCAGGCCACGGTCTCCTGAGCCGGAACAGCAGTTTGGGGGGAGGGAGCTGGAGCTGAAGGGTGACGCCCTGACCTCGCGTCTTGCACGAGGTCACGACGAGAAGTTCTTGTAGCTGTTTTCGCGCTCCAGGGGCTCTCACCCGTCCGGGATCTTGACAAGAATGATCGAGGATGAACGAGGGGGTCCTTTGGAAGGGGTCCAGACATTTGGGCCATTTGGGGTGCCGCGTTCCCAGACCTGCGACGTGGTGCCGAGATTTGTTCCACAACGAGGCTCCCCAGAGGTCTAAACTCTTTTCTGGGCGTTGGCTTCTCATCCCGAGTCGTTTCGAGCGCTCCCGGCCGGGGCCGTGCAAGCAGCCCCCCGAACAGAAAATGCATACAGCCTCCCGTCGTGATGCTTTCACGGCGCGAGGAGGTCAGGGTTGGACCAGGCGTGGAGGAGGAGGATGAGGAGGAGGGCCATGATGAGGTCGTTGAGGAGGCTGGAGGACAAGGAGGAGGAAGAGGAGGAGGAGTTGACGAGGAGGGGACGAGGACGAGGACGAGGATGAGGCGGAACGAGGACGATGACCAGGACAGACGGGGACGAGGACGAGGAGGAGGAGGAGAAGAGGAAGGGTGATGTGGAAGAGGAGTGGGAGGAGGGAGGGGGGGGACGACAGCTGGAGGAGGAGGGCCGAGACCGAGGAGTGGAAGGCAGCCTATGCCGCTGGTGCTTCCGCCGCACCAAGGGCGCTTCTCCACGGCGCCTGCGCGAAACTGGCGTGCGCCGCCGCGCCGCCGCCGGCCCGCGCCCCCACCGTTCCGGCTTCCGCGGCCCGCGCTGCCGCTCCGCTTCCCATTCGGCGTCTTCGGCAAAAACGGAGGAGGGGCAGCAGCAGCAGAAGAACGAGGACGGCGAGAGCGAGGGGCGAGGATGAGGAGCACCAGAAGAAGGAGCAGCAGAGCATTGGAAGGAGGAGGAGGAGGAGGAGGAGGAAGAGCTTGCGTGATGGGCAAACGCTCCCCATGTTCCCTTCATGCATGCCTGACGCCTCTCGTCTCTCCCAGACCTCGCGTCGTGAAACAGGCGCGGCGGCAGGTTTTTCACAGTTGTCAGTCTCTGCCAGGCGCCCTTGCTGGGCTCTGTTCGTTCTGCATTATCCTCCCTATCCCGGCATGAACGCGTTGTATACATCACGTCTGTCTTTGTTGTTTCTTGCCTTGTTTACTTTTCGGCCTCTGAGGACTGTCTTCGGGTTCTGGGTCCGTCGAAAAAAATGTACATTGGCCTCGGGCAAGGAGTCCAGATTTCTGGAGACCCCGCATTGAAGAGGTACAGATGTTGGATCTCTGAGTCTCCACGAGTTCCTCTCCTCCCTGTTACTCCCTCTCCTGCATTCTACTTCCCCTCTCCCCCGCCCCCCTTCGCTCTCGTTCTGGCCTCTTCCTCTCCCCCTTCTCTCTCCCTCGTTATCTCTTCCTCGCTATTTCCCCTTATCGCTCCCTACACCCTACACTCCTCCCTTCCAGCTCTTCCATTCTCGTTTCCTGCTCGGCTTTCTCCCTTTTGCCGCCGCGTTTCACATGCTGCCACCCACATCCAAGCGTACATCTGGAAGTGTTCCCTTGCTTCGTTGTTGTGTTGGTTGTTGTATTCTCTCTCTCTCTCTCTCCCTCTTTTCTCTTTCTCTTTTTTTTCTTTCTCTCTCTCTCTCTCTCATTACAGACACCCAGATGCATATGTGTGCATCAAAGATATATGTTTGGTGACCCCTCTCCCTCCCTATGTTTGCCTGCTGTTTTCTTGAACCTCAGGCGGATCGTCGCAAGCGATGGTTGCAAATTGCTCGCTGGGCCAAGTCACTGGCCAGGCCCACCCCGTGCCCAGGATCGGTGTACATAACCGCAAGAAGCCATTAAGGACCCTCCCGGGGCTATCATTAGCACAGCACCGTCATTAAGTAATTATGGGGTGCGGTTTTCGCCGAACGATATGATTAGCTCCGCGCAAATTGAACGAACATAAATCATTCCCGCGCCCCGGCTCGGGTGGTACCCCAATTGAATTCGGAATACGAATAAGAGTGACATACGAGTAATATAACTAATAAGAATAAGGATACGAGTAAGAGTATTACTACACATAATAATACTAATACTAATAACAATAAGAGTAGGAATCAGAGTACGAATGTCAATCCGACTAAGAATGGTAATCATACTCCGAACACTAATTACACTACGAATCATAGCAAGAAGAACACTCATATGAGTAAGCATACTAAGGCGAACAATAGTAAACATAATATGAGTAAGAATGATAATACGAATAAGGATAATAGTGTTACTAATAGGGGTAATACTAAGACTAGGAGTAAGAATAATAGTAAACATCTAACTCTTAATACTACTCTTAAGCATAACCCGAACAAGAATCACACTAAGAGTGTTAAAACGAATAAGGCTTATACTTGTAAGAATACGAATGCAAATGCGAATTCGACTAACAATCATACTAAGACGAATAATGCGAATCAGAGTAAGGATACTAATGTGAGTAAGCATACGAAAACAGACGGGTTTCCCTGCTTCTTTATTCCCTCCCTCCTTTTTTCTCATGTGCTTCATCATCCTTGTCTTGTGCTACACGATTATTATTATCACCCCTGTTGAAACATTGTTTTTTTCCCCGCCGTCGTGTGGGGTTCTGTGCATCCAAGGATATCGCCCCCGCCACGCACGGCGCGTTATCTTAGCACCTGCACCGCCAAAATGATTCGCCCCCCATCGTAGGCACGGACGGTTCCTTTTCAAAGTTGGGCTCTCCCTTGCGTTGGATTTGGTGTTGTTATTGTTGGTGTTGGCGGTGTTTTTGGTGTTTTTGATGTTGATGTTGTTGTTGGTGTTGTTATTGGCCTTGTTGTTCTAGATGTAATTATTATTGCTCGTAGTATTGTCGTTGTTCGTGCTGGTGCCGTGCCGTAAGGGAGTCTTGAGGAGGAGGAGCAGGAGGATGTTTGTTTCTGTTTAGCTGGGCCAAGGCCTCTTGATTGAGGCCTCGGCCCTTGGCTTGATCCGCAATGGCGAATAAGACCCAAACTCGCTACGGGGGGGAGTAGGAGGAGGAAGAGGAGGAGGACCCCTGACGAGGAGGAATAGAAGGATGAGGAGGACCCCTGAGAAGGACGAAGAGGAAGAGGAAGGCCCCTGCTCGGAAGGCCGAGCGCTGGGAAGACGCGCGGCCATTCCAGTTCTCGCCCAGACCGGCCACCTGACGCAGACTCGTCTGCGTCCAGAGCAGTTTCTGAGGATGTCTCAGGCGAGGCGCTTGTTTCAGAACCGCAAGGAGACCATATTGCGAGAATGTCTCGGGTGGTTTTCTTGTTTCGGCGAGCAGACTCGTCTGCGTTCAAATAAAGGTGCGAGGTGCCAGGGTAACGCTTCTGGGGTGCCCGGTGCGTTATACTTTCGCCGGAGAGGGGGGGGGGATTCTTAATTGCTTGATGCGGTTACCCTCCTGGTCCAGGCTAGGCGGGTCTATACAACATGCCTGCTGCTGGCGCGCGGTCCTCCTCGTCCCTCCACCTACACATCTGCATCGTCGTCTCGTCCTCCGTGTCCTCCACGTGCTCGTCCTTCTCCTTGCTTCTCCCTATCTCGTCCCCGCTACGTACATCCAATTAGGAAGTCAGGTTACCACATTTTGAGACGTCACTCGTTGCGCGAGGCTTCGCGAGCAGAGGGTATGAAGACGATGCAAGTTAATGGCGTTGGTTTACCATCACGGCGATGTTCTGCGTGATGCATTCGACTAAAGCTTCAGTATGACCGCACACTTCCTTGTACACGTACGGCCTTCATCCAGGCCGCCCCATTGCAGCCACTGGTGGCGCAAAGTACTCAGCGCCATGTCGCTGACAGTCAATGGTGGCCTGTAAAGGCCTGCGGGGCAATTTCCACCCTCGAATGCAACCATTTTTCATAGGTTAGGTTTTGCTTGAGGTGTTTTTTGTTTAGTGAAGAACCAGCCCAAGTAATATATTGGTTTAGTGAAGAACCCCTCCAGTGTAGGCCTTGCCTGGTTCCTTGGTCTTGGATTCTTTTCTGGGCGTTGCCCAGATTCCCAGGTCTTGATCCTTGGTTTCCCCATTTTTCCCGGCGGAGCCGGGTGAAATTCCATGCCCGCCGGTGACTGACTGACTAATTGATTGTTTGACTGATTGACTGACTGATTGACTGACTGAACGTCAGGAGGGCACCTTGAACAACACATTTCAAACCGCCCGCGGGCGCGGAACGGCAACTGGGCGACACATTTCGACCACCCGCCCGAGGGCGCGCAACCGCAACCGCACCTGGGCAACACATTTCAACCCGCCCGCGGGCGCGCAACCGCAACCGCACCTGGGCGACACATTTCAACCCGCCCGCGGGCGCGCAACCGCAATCGCAACTGGGCGACGCATTTCAACCCGCCCGCGGGCGCGCAACCACAACTGGGCGACGTTTCAACCCGCCCGCGGGCGCGTCGACCCGCCAGCGGGCGCCCAACCGCAACCGGAACTGGACGACACATTTCATCCCGCCCGCGGGCGCGCAGCCGCAACCGCACCTGAGCGACACATTTCAACCCGCCCGCGGGCGCGCAAGCGCAACTGGGCGACACATTTCAATCCGCCCGCGGGCGCGCAACCGCAACCGCAACTGGGCGACACATTTCAACCCGCCCGCGGGCGCGCAACAGAAACCGGAACTGGGCGACACATTTCAACCCGCCCGCGGGCGCGCAACCGCAACCGGGACTGGGCGACACATTTCGACCCGCCCGCAGGCGCGCAACCGCATTTGGGCGACACATTTCGGCCCGCCCGCGGGCGCGCAACCGCAACCGCAACTGGGCGCCACATTTCAACCCGCCCGCGGGCGCGCAACCGCAACCGCATCTGGGCGACACATTTCAACCGCCCGCGGGCGCGCAAACCGCAACTGGGCG